AAAGCTAAACCACATATTCAGGCCACAGATAGAACGAGCAATTCATGAGTTCCTGGCGGCCCAGAAGAAAGAAGCCCCACCAGCTCCTCCTCCAGAGCCTGAGAGCCAGGACCCGACGGCTCCGTCCCAGGAGGCATCTTAAGAGTATGCCTGACTGAAGCTGTGAAGAACTCATTTCAACTTCTTACGAGTCCAACTTCCAGATGAAGACAGGCCCAGGCCTTCACTGACTTGAAGATTTCAGCCTTGACCGTGAGACAGTTTCTAGGCAACCAGGGAGCAAGATTGACAGAAAGTGGACCAGATACCCCAGATTGTGCTGCCGTCTGGCTAGCACATCCATGGGGATGACACTCAGGTGACACTACAGAGAACAACACTACAGCATTCTGAGGCTGTCCTGAAACAAACCTTTATGCTTCTGGTTGGATTTCAGGATCGCTTGGGTTTTAAAAAAAAAAAAACAAAACCAAACCAAACTACAATGAAGGGATTTTGATGCAATCCCAAAGATGCAATGTCAGTAACTAGGAATTGCAGGAAATGTTACCTGGGAGTGGGGATATGGCAATGTTATTTGATAGGGTTTTTTTGACTTGCAAACTAGAATGTATAAACCATTAGCATCAAATGGCTTTATTAGCATCAAATGGCTTTAAAGTCACTGTGACCTTCTTTCACATGAATCTGTGGCCAGGTTCCTCTCTTGGTATAAGGTGGGAAATCCAGAGCCCAAGAGCAAGGGAGGAAATTCACTTCTTAAGTTTCAGAAGAACCATGGGCTGAGTAAGGTTTTTTCCTATCCTATAAGAACTAATGAGTCTTGGTATGTTTCTTTTGTAGGTTGGCTTTGGTTTTGAAATGTTACTAAATTTTCTAAATAAAATCATCTGATACTCTTAAAAAAAAAAATAAGGAATCACTAGGCTACCAATTGACATGTTCTAACCAACGTATGCACCCCTGGTCATGTTTACCAGTCTGTACCAGAAAATATGGAAGACGGCTACCTGGCCAACTGACTGGGGAAAAATGCATATTTGTTCTAATTCCCAAGAAAGGTGGAAATTATCCACAGCATGTAGAAATTATCAAACAATAGCATCAATATCACATGCATGCAAAATACTGCTGAAGATCTTCCAAAAACAACTATAACAATACATTGCCAGAGAACTGCCAGGAGTTCAGGCTGGATTTAGAAATGGTCATGGCATCAGGGACCTCACTGCTGATGTCAGGTGTATCCTGGTTGAGAGCAGAGAATCCCAGAAGAATGTCTGTTTGTACTTTATTGACTAGGCAATGACATTTGACTGTGCGGACCATAACGAGCTATGCCTAACACTGAGAAGAAAGGGAATCCCAGAATACTTAATTATGCTTATGCAAAACCAAGAAGCTGCTGACCGAACAAAGCACAGGAACACAGCATGGTTTAAATGTGTATGTCAGGGCTGTATCCTTTCTTCATACTTGTTCAATTTGTATGCTGAGCAAATAATTTGAGAAGCTAGACTCTGTGAAGAAGAATGTGGTATCCTAATTGGAAGAAGACTCAACAACATCCTGTGTTATGTAGAGGACCAAAAACTGTTGCTTTCAGTATAGATTACATCTCAACAGCAAGAAAAAAAATACTCACTACTGAGCCAATGAGCAACATTATGGCTGATAGAAAAAGACTGAAATTGTCAATGTTATCTTCCTAAGATCCACAGTCAACACCCTAAGTACCAGCAGTCAGGAGATCAGGAAACATTGCAATGGGAAGGTCTGTTATCAGGGACCTCTCCAAAGTCCTGAAGAGCAATGATGTAATTTTAAAGACTTAGGAGTACCTGACTCAAGCCATAATTTTTCCAATCACCTGCTATACATATGAGAGCTGGCCAGTGAATAAAGATGGCAGAAGTGATGCCTTTGAGTTGTAGTATTGGAGAAGATTTCTGGAAATCCCAGGGAATGCCAAAAGAACAAATAGATATACATTGGAGGAGATGCAGTCAGAGGCCCCTTGGAGGCAAGGATGGCAAAGTTTCATCTCAAGCTTGGGGCATGTTACTAGGAAAGGCTATTCCTTAGAGAGGGACATCATGCTTGGAAGCATGGAGAGTTAGGAAAGAGTGGAAGGAGATGGATTGATACAATGTCCTCGACAGTGAGGTCAAGTGTGCCATGGATGATAAGGATGGTACAGAATAAGATAAATTGAGATTAGTTGTTCATAGGGTCGCAATGAGTCATGCTTGACTCCACAGCACCTAACAACAATGCCACCATCCACTTTGAAGTTTAGATTTTCTTTTCTTCTTTCCCCCCTTCATGTTTCTTCTCTACAGCCAACGGAGTAACTTGTATCATTTGGAACACACAGTAATATGGTAGGGTGCTCTGGTAGCCTAGTGGCAAGAAGCTGAACTGCAATTCCAAAAGCATGCAGTTCAAGGCCACCAGCTGTTCTGCAGGAGAAGGATGGACAATTTCTTCCCTTGAGAGTAACTGCCTTTGAAAACCCACTGGAGGGTCACATATGGGTTGGTTCTTGCTCGATGGTATCACTGTAAATAGTTTTTAAATAAGATATAAAGCTGTGGATATATTCAGGCAAGGGGGCAAGAACTCATCTGGGAAAGACATCAGGACAGGTCTGGGAGCAGGGAATAAAGACTTCCTTTTGGTCAGCTGTTCCCTGGTTCTGCCTGTGCCCCTCAGGCAGCTTGCATATCTGTGTGAGTGGGTGCTCGTTGCCTGCGTCCACATTCCTAGGATGAGGTAGAGCCCATTTCTTCACCATCTGTTTGCAGTGGCCATGCAGATAGCCAGGAACAATATGACAGTATGGTGTGCTCTCTGTACTGTCTGGGTCTCCAGCCTGCCCCACCCCTCTGTGCGCACTGGCCTCCGTGACTCGCCTCATTTCTCCTGTCCACTCTTCATTAAACAGCTCTGCCTTCCAGACATAGCTCTGAAACTCTCATCAGGAACCTCCACAGGCCTCCTGTCAGTTATTTGCTGAGTGCCGTGTTGGTCATTTTGTAATTCTTGAGAGTCACACAGTAATTCTGGTCAATGAGCCCACAAACTCGTTTAAACTGCTAATGAGCTTGGGCCTATCAGAGATCCGAAGGATGTGGCAGGAGAGGCAGAGTTCAGATCTCTTGTTCACAGAGTCTCGGTGAGTCGAAGTCGACTCAATGGTGCCTATCAACAATAATAAATCTTCCACTTGCCTCATTGGTGAAATCACAGGTGATTGTTGTTATTAGGTGCTGGCAAGTCAGTTTGAGTTCTCATGGTGATGAGTTGTTTTAGTATAACCCATAGCGACCCTATGAACAGCAGAGCTGCACCCTGTCCTGTCCTGTGCTGTCCTCACGCTTCCTGACACACACTTGAGCCCACTGCAGCAGTCACCATGTCAATCCATCTGGTTGAGGGTCTTCTCTTTCATAACCCTTCACCCTTCCCAAGCATGATGTTCCTCTTCAAGGAATGACTGCTCCCAGCAACATGTTCAAAGTATGTGAGACAAAGCTTTATGTGAGAGGAAATCATGGGTAACCAGGAGGAATTCTCCACAGCATCTTGTTTAGAATCCTACACAGTATAGAACCTCACAGCACAGCTGCTTCGAATAGCTAAGGGCTTTGAGTCTGAGCTAGACTATTAGCAACTTGAAGGTGGCCTGGGTGAAACCAAGTTTCTCCTTGGAAGCTAGGATTTTGAAGCTCCATCACACATACCTTGGCCACTTGGCCAGGAGGGCCCAACCTTGGAGAAGCACATCATGCTAAGAAGGGTGGAGGGGCAGCACAGGATGGAAGACCTTGGATGAGATTTATTGATATAGTAACTGGGGTAATGGAGTTAGGTGTGTCAAAGTCAGTGAGACTGGCTCAGGACAGGGCAGGCTTCAGAGCTGTTGTACATAGGGTCGCTATGAGTCACAGGCGACTCGACAGCACATAATAATAATAACAACAGCAACACCACCCCATACACACTTACACTCACCTAGTTGTTGTTGGCATACACTAAAGCTGTTATTATTCACTAATTCCACAGATAAAATTGTAGTACCTACTGTGTGCCAGAAACAGTGCTAGATGAGCTGACAATTCAACATCAAACCAGGGAGATGCAGTCCTGCCTCCAGGGCATTTATGTTCTTATAGAGATGGCCAAGTAAGCAGACAAAATTATCATAGGACAATGCAGAAACAGGGCAATGAAGCAGAGAAGGGGTGCTGGCATGTTTATGCTCAAACCTGAAGAAGAATATGCAAGAGCTAAGTCGTCCTAACAGCTATCTCGTATTAAATTGCTCCCACTCTAACTTTTCTTTCAGTAAAATCGTTATGTATGTAAATAGATGTGATAAGGTGACAGAATCTGTGGATCGTGCAACTGGCTAATGTGCTTGGCTATAAACTGAAAGGCTGGAGGTTCAAGGTTCCGCCCTTCCAGGTGTCTCAGAGAAAGGCCTGGGGATCTACATTTGAAACAGTAATCACTGAAAACCCCATGCAGCACCCTTCTCCTCTGATATTCATGTGTCACCAGGAGTCCAGAGCAACTCGTCCTTTGTGTTTTTTTCTAATGTGACATTATTAGTCCACAAGCATTATTTTCTCCAATCCAGTTGCATTGCATCGTTAAATTATTATTCCAGAAGGCAAGAGGTTTGAGTTCACCAGCTGCTCGGTGGGAGAAAGGTGGGCAGTTTCCACCTGTGTGATTTCTTGTCTCTGAAAAGCCTCTGTAGGGTCAGCTGTGAGTGATCCCGACTAAACTGCAATGAATTGAGTAAATTACAGTCCGCCCAAGGTTTATTTATCTCACCTGCGTTGTCAAGGTAGCAGCCCTAGGTGTTCATCAAAGTCTAATGAAAATTCTCTGACTGAAAAAGAAAAAAGTTCTCAGACAGCGAGCACACCATTTCCCTATATGCAGATTACGGTTCCTCTCTCTGATGGAGATCGCGGTTTGTTTTACAGGTGAGCCGGCCTCATCCCAGCGACCACCCTCTCCTGATCCTCTTCATGGTGGGCGGAATCACAGTCTCTGAGGCCAAAATGGTTAAAGACCTTGTGCCATCTCTGAAGCCAGGAACGCAGGTACTGAGTCCCCTGTGATGTGAGCAGAAGTCCTGAGTCAGGGGGCGGGCATGAGAGGGTGGGAAAGAGCCCTTCCCCGGGGACTCCCAGTCTCCTCCTCTCCATCACATCCTTCCCTCCCACCTGCCCAGTCTCCTCCACTCACCCCACACTGCCTGATAGAGCTGTTGAGTTCTGCCTCTTTTTAGTGAAGTCCATCATCACAGGTAAAATTCTGGAGCTCTGGTAGCTTTGTGGTAAGGAACTGTGCAGCAAAGGTATGTGGTTCGAATCCACCAGCAGCTCCACCGGAGAAAGATGAGCAGTCTGCACCCGTGTGGCTTACTGCCTCTGAAAATACCCTGGAGGGTCAGCTTTGGGTCAGTTCCAACTCATTGGTACACAACAGCAAGCAAATAGACACTATTATTTACAATATAAGTGGCTCTTTAAAAAAATGTAGTTCTTCAAATGGGTGATAGTGGGAAGGTGATGGGGGGAGCACTCTCCTTTGAAGCCCCTCTGAGCTTTGTAGGCTATGGTGCTGTTAGCCCCATTTCAGACTGCTGAAGAGCATTGTAGTCCCTGGTGTCCGTCCACACTTAATTAGGCAGGAGTTTTCACTACTTGGTGTCGTCCTGGTGATACAGCAGTGACAACACCAGAGCACTAATCTAAAGGGCCATGATTCGAATCTACCAGCTGATCCACGGGGGAGTCACCTCCACAAAGCTTCACAGCTTTGATAACCTTATGCAGCACTTCCAGCCTTACCTGTTGGGTCACTGTGAGCTGGGATGAACTCGACAGCAGTGAATGTGGTAATGGCTTTGCTTTGTTGCTTTCCAGCTCCAGACCATTTTGGGGTGACTTTCAGGACCTCCTCCCAACAGTGGCAGTTGGAGGGCAAGGCCAGAGGAGTGTCTGGGAAGGAGTACTTTCAACACAATGGCCAGTGTAGTATCTTTTCTCCTCTCTGACTTCCTGCCCAGTCCTATCTCATTCCCCAGCCAGAAAGCTGAGCCTATCGCCCAGTGTTTAAAAACACAGACTTATTGTCTTGACATCCGTGAACTCAAAACCTGCCTCTGCCTCTTAAAAGCCAGGAGAAGTCGAGGGTAGGGTGAGGTAGGACATCCTTTAATATCTAGGCCTATTTTCTGACTTGGAACTGGGGCCAGAGTGATTGTGAACCTTAAGTCAGGTAAGGTTTAAGTATAGCTTCTTAGCAGCATTTCTCCAGTGCTCTCAATAAAGTGTGGTGTCACTTATTGTCTCTGTGTACTTGGATGGGGCCACCCATCTAGTATAACTCATGGAGGGGCTGCCATTGATTGGAATTGACTTAATGAAACTGATGTATTGGATGGTGTTGAACAGGTATCAGTGAATCATCCACACTAAGAGAAGCCAAGAAGAAAGGTCTGGTGGTCTCGTTCTGAAAATCAGTGAAGGCAAACCTTAGACCACAAAGGTCTGTTCTGAACTGATCACAGGGATAGCATAGAGAGGAAGAGCATTTCATGTCATCATCCATGAGGTAACGTGAGTTGGGCAATGATTTGAAGGCAGCTAACAACAGCACTGTTACTATGAACCATTTCTGAGTAGTTACCGCCCTGTTGTGCAGGAGGTCTCTGAAGCTCCTGGCACAAGACAGCAGGAGCCCAGACTGCCTCTGACACTTCCAGTCTGGCTGGGCAGCAAAACTGTAACTCAGTAAGGCTTAAAAAAAAGTAAATAAATACAAATCTTTGCCTAAATAGATTCCTCTAAAGCAGAGCAAAGGCAGAGATGTGAAGGAGTAACACCAAGAAGTACAAGTGTTATGTGTCATCAAGTCATAATTGACTCGTAGCTAACCCTCCAGGTTTTCAGAGGCAATGAGTCGCATGAGAGGAGATTGTCCATCTATCTCCTGCAGAGCAGTTAGTGAACTTGAACATCCTGCCTTTGAGTTGGTAGCATAATGCTTTGCCCACTAGACCACCAGAGTACTCTATAAAGCTGAAGGTTTAGGAAGAAGATTAACTCCTTAAGAACATCTTTCCACCCTACCCACCTTTCCTAACCACTCTCTCCTTGGCTTTTGCTCCATGGTTCAGTTGTGGGAGTCTAATGAAGAGGGATAGGGAGCTCTTGTGGCCTCGTGGCAAGAAGCTGTGCTGCAGTCCCAGAGGCACATGTTCGAAATCACAAGACACTCCACGGAAGAAGGATGGGCATTTTCCCCCTGTGTGATTAACTGACTCTGAAAACCCACTGAAGGGTCTGCTATGGTGCCTACTCTGTGGTACACGACAACAGGGAAGGGAGAAAGCCAAGAGAGTGGATGTTGTTGAGCTGATGGCAGGTGTGGGCACCCGGCACATGCTCCTGGAGGCCCTCTGAGAAGCTGGCCTGTGTATGCTTCAGAATTAGCCTGCACAGGGCAGGGAATCTGTGCCATCTTCCTATCGATTCCCAGCCCCACTAGGGACAGCATTTTCCCAACCATGAATTAGAATCACTTAGAAGCCACCCAACTCTTCTAACTTTTAAGAAAATAAGGCAGAGAAGTTTGTGGAAGCTCTCTTCAGATGGAAAGCTAGCAAATCAGGGGCCTGTGCTTCAAATGTTCATAGGAATGAGGTGGGCAGAGGGGAAGGGGCTCCCAGGACGCTGGAGGTGGCTGAGCCGAGCGGCTGCTGGCTTTGTCGTCCATCCCCACCTGCTGCAGTGCTGTCCCATCAGTCAGGCTAAGAAGCACCCAGTCTCTCCTCTGTGAGACTGTCACTCCAGGCCCTCCCACATTCCCTCTGGCCTACATAGTCCACACCATGCAATGTCTCCTCAACCAAACATGAATTCCTCGAAGACAAAGGCTGGGGCTTCCCAGTCCTGAGCATATGGTCGTTGTTGTTCGGTGCTGTCAAATCTAATACAAATTAGAGCAACCCGATGAACGGCCGATCTCAACGTTGCCCTGTCTTGCACTGTCCTCACTGCCTCTGCCATGCTTGAGCCCAGTGTTACGGTCACTGTGTCAGCCCACCTAGTGGAGGGTCTCCCTCTCCTTCTCTGACCCTCCAGCTTTCCCAGCTTGATGTCTTTTCCTAAGCCCTGACTCCTCCTGACACCATGGTCAGGAAGTCCTGTGGTTTGATGGGTGGGTTCACTACCACAGAATTGTCTTGGCAAAAACAATCAGTGGTGGCTGAGTGAGGTGGCTGAGCCACCCTTCTGGTCACCCCTAGACATCTAGCTGAACCACAGAATGTGGAAGTTAGGAGTCAGGGTGGGGTCTTGAGCTGGAGAGCGACCACTCTTTGGCAGTAACCATTTCTAATGTTTCTCCCAACTGTTGTGTTCATAGCTGAGGAAATTTGGGTTAAATTGGTTCATTCTGTGTCATTTAACACTCTATCAGCAGCCTAAAGGGTCAGCTTAATGAGTGATTACTGCCTTTTGGAGAAACACTTAAAAAAAAAAAAAAGAAAGAAAAACCCAACGAGAAAACACACTTTTTGCCACTCCTAACATGCTGAACCAAATTCTTAGCCCTCCAGAACAGTGACGCATTGTCACAGCCTGACAGACATGTTAATCCCTGCTCCAAAAGGAGAAATGCAGACGTTTTCAAAGCCATGGGAGCGGAGTTTGACAACAGAGAGCGGGGATCTGTGGTGGCTTTGCTGCGACCTGACCCTGTGCTCAGTCATCTGCAGAAAGAGCTGCCCCCGAGAATTTCAGGCTTAAGGGGCAGCCTTGACTGCGGCTTGTCCTTTGTGCAGAAATCTCCTCTGAAGAGTTAGCAGGGCCCCCGGAAGCCTCCAAAAGCAACAGAGAAAGAAACAGAAGAGGGGTTATTGATCTTGGTGTCCTTCATATCCGACTTTTTGAGAGGAGATGGATTTAGCTAGACATCTGCTGAGTCAAATCTCCCTTTCTTGAACCTTCATCGACATACAGCCGGCCCGGACTCAGCACTGAGATTTGACTTGTCATTGTTCTTAGGTGTCATTGACTCGCATGTGACTCCTAACAACCCTGTGAATAACAGATCTGAACTCTGTCCCATCCTGCGCCATCCTTATCGTCCTCAACACAACTGAGCCCATTGCTACAGTCACTGTGTCAGTCCAACTCATTGAGAGACTCTTCCTAGCTTCCCACTATCAAAAAGGCAGCAGAAAGTAGGCCTTGAAGCTCCAGCTGTGTGCTGTGTGGAACTGTGCACTAGTGCCAGCATCCGCTTGGCAGACATTTGTGGGAGAATGTGTCAACCAATTGAAGGCGATTGGTGCTCCTGAACCTGTGATCCAGCAGACTGTCAGAGATGCGCCTGGCAGCCGGGAGAGTCACTCTGACTTGAGTATCTGTGTAAACCAGTGTCAAGTTACTTCTGGCCCATGGTCACCTCGTACAATGCAGAATAGAACTGTTCTCTAGCATTTTCTTGGCTGCGGTATCTATAACAGCAGGTTACCAGGACTTTCTTCCATGGTGCTATAGGATGGGTTCAGTCCATCAATCATTTGGTTAGAAACAAACAAAATTCTATTTGTTTTGTAAAGATCCTGTAGAACAGAGTAGTGTTGCCCCGTAGAGCGTCAAAGGCTGTGTATCAAAGCAGAATGCCACTTCTTTCTCCTAAGGGATGTCTCGTGGGGTCTAATGACCCCCTTTTTTTAGTAGCCAAACATTTGACCACAAAACCAGCATGACTCCTTTTGAGGTTGAACACAGTTTGCATCATCCACAAATCTTGATGACCTGTCTAAGCAGCAGTAACATCGTCTCTCCTCCGGTCAGCTTGACATAACTCTGGAGACTTGAGTGTTGTGATTCTGGAAGCTGTACTAGTATTTCAAATGCCAGCAGGATCACAGTGGACCGGCTTCAGCAGAGCTTCGAGACCAAGACAGACGAAGAAGGGCTTAGTCTTAGATAGAAGTAAAAAAATGAGTCAATGAAAACTGTATCAGTCACAACTAGCCCTTGTCTGATAATAGTGCTGGACTGTGAGCTCCCTAGATGGA